CTTTAAAGGAACTTATTTTCTGCTTTTACAAGGGTTTTCATCAAGAGTTTGTTTTAATTTCATTTTGAGAATCATTTATTTATGAAAAAAAGCCCCGACCCGTTCTGTTAAACACAATCTTTGGACTTTGGTTTAGATGATTTAATTTTAAATGTCCTTTTTCAATGAAATAAGCAATTCCATTTTTCCTTAAGGACGTTGTAAAGTAATAAAAAAGTTTGAAAAGAAATTGTTTGAATGTCTTCAATGTTAAGAAAAGGAAAGAAAAATATAAGTTGAATGTAACAAATCATTCGGAAATTCTGCCCCTTTTCCAACAATAATTATGTTGTTGAAACTCGAAAGGTTTTTTTATTGTAATTAATGACCGTTTGTGTGTGATTCCGTTTTGTAACCATTGGGATTCATTGTCTGCCATCGCCAGAAATCGGAACACATTTCCTCAAGAGTATAAACAGCTTTCCAACCAAGTTCAGATTCAGCGAGCTTTGGGTCTGCAAACATTGTAGAAATGTCACCTTGACGTCGAGGTTGAATGACGAAGGGAACTTTGACATTATTAACTGCTTCAAATGTTTTTATCAGAGACATCACACTCACACCAGCCCCAGTTCCCAAATTATAGAATTTAATTCCCAATTTGCCTTTTTCAAGTTTCTTCATAGCGGCGACATGACCCGTAGCTAAGTCCATCACATGAATGTAATCACGAATGCCGGTCCCATCTGGTGTGCTATAATCATCACCGAATATTGTTAAAACGTCTTTCTTTCCGATTGCGACCTGACTTATAAATGGCATCAAATTTGTGAAAGGTTTAGTTGGGTCTTCGCCAATCCGACCCGAACGGTGGGCACCAACAGGGTTAAAATATCTTAACGCAATGATATTCCATCTTTCATCAGCTGTTGACAAATCTCTCAACATTTCTTCCACAAAATATTTTGTTCTGCCATAGACATTGGTGACATTCTTTCCTGTTTCATTTTCCTCTGTTATCGGCAGCTTTTCAGGTTCACCATATACCGTACACGAACTGCTGAACACCAAATTGAATATTTCATGTGCTTTCATCAGCTTTGAGTTTTAAAAATGTCATTACAAAAAATCGAATCATAAATTATAATTTCTTTTACCTCCAACAAATTAATCATTCCAATCAAATTGTTTTTATAATATAAAAGTGGAAACTGCATGGATTCCCCAACAGCTTTCATAGCAGCAAAATGAATTACTGATGTGATTTTATGATTGATGAAAATTTCACTTAATCGTTCGACATCCAATAAATCGCATTTGTAAAATGAAATTTTTTTTCCTGTGATTTCTTCAACACGTTCTAATGCTATTGATTCATTTTTCATGCCATGGACGGAATTTGTAAAATTATCCAAAGCTACAACTTCATAACCAGCTATTTGAAAGGAAAATTTTTTATTTCAGTTGAACATATAAATAAATTTTATGCACATTTTTTACCTTCCAACAACGTTACAATACAATGAGAACCAATGTATCCACTAGCACCTGTAACGAGTACACTTTGAGCTGCCATCATCGAATGAGGGGTTCCTTAAAAAGTTTAAGTTTTTCAGTGAGATTAAATTCGCTTAAATTTAAAATATGAGATCATGTTGGATACTTCAGTTTATGTGAATAATTTTAAGAGAATTTTCATTGAAATTAATGTGCATTATTCATTCGCTGAATTTGAGTGGTAAGTGAAAAGCAATGTGCAGAGAATGTTTTACATAAAAACTTCCTTTGGGTCTGAAGTGAGATATTCTTTAGGTAATCCACACATTCATGTAAGCTTGCGAGCTTTTATAAGCTTGAAAGATGCAGAAAATGTTTTGCTTCATATTTCAGTTTCTTTCGCATCATTCTGACAACATTGTAAATATTAAGAATAATAAATATCTTGTTTTCACATTTTCATCATATAATACCCTGTTAATAACGATGAGACTTATTGAAAAAATTATTCAACCCACTGGAAAAACTCATTCCGCAACCGTAATATTTTTTCATGGCTCAGGTAATGATAAAAAATTTAAGTTTTTTTGGTAAAACCTACACAAGAATATTTACATTGTATCTAATTAAAATTCTCAGGTGACACAGGAAACAATTTAATCGAGTGGATTAAGTTTCTTCTCGGAAGGAACATTGAAATCCCTCATGTCAAATTTGTTTATCCAACAGCCCCTGTACAAAAATATACGCCATTAAATGGAGAATATTCTAATGTGTGGTTTGACAGAAAGGCTGTTACCATTGACAGTTTTGAGAATCGAAAATCATTAGCAGCAATTTATGAGACTGTTAATGAGTTATTGAAACGTGAAATAGAAGGATGTGGCATTCCGGCCCATCGTGTAATTGTTGGCGGTTTTAGTATGGGCGGTTGTTTAGCAATGCATTGTGGATATCATTTGAATCAAAATCTTGGCGGTGTTTTTGCGCTTTCATCATTTCTAAATAACAATTCTATTGTTTATCACTCGTTGGATACTAATCAGTTCGAAAAACTCCCAAAACTGAAAATGTTTCATGGATTACGGTAAGAAAAATTGTTTTTTTGGAGAAAATCAGCGTAAAATTCTGTTTTACACAGTGACACGTTAGTGCTACCAGAGTGGGGACAAAAAACGTTTTCTGAACTGCAAAAACGAGGAGTACAAGGAGACTACACGGCTTTGAAAAATACGCTACATGAATTAAAGAAGAACGAGCTTTTGGAACTTGAAAATTGGTTTCGAGAAATTCTGCCACCCCTCGGTACTGATTTGCAAAATAAATTATAGGTAATTGCAGATACATGCTCTGCATAATTTGAGTTGATTTTATTGATAGGTTAAAGGGGTTTCATGAAAATTTAAAAAGAAAGATTGAAATAAAAAGAGAAACAAATTGTTGTATTTAATTTCCTCGGTAATTTGGATGTAAAATTTAATTGGCTCAGAAATCTTATTAGGATTTTGAACTTCCCTTAAAAGTTGTACGAAGGGTTGATAAAAATTTCCAGAAGAAAACTTCAGATTTGTCTAGAATGTTTGAAAAATTTGAATCTTAGTCTTATGAAATGTCAAGTCAATATTTTTGATCGAAGAAAATATTCAATATCAAAGGAAAAATGTCTTAAGATGTTTTAAAGTGAAAGAAAAAGACTTTCAGTATCAATATCGATATGAAGAGAGGCATTCGCAATCTCAAATGTAATTTCCTCTTCACATCATGTCAGATATAAAAATACATCGCATTGTTATCGAAAACGAGCAACAACTCACTTGAAATTTTTCAATATTGCGATAAAGGAACATAAATTGATTTTCCTTACATTATTGATATTACTTAGAACTGATTTTATAAGGAAAAGTCGAAAGGTTAACGGCAATCGTTGGAGTCTACCTACAAGGTTTAAAAAAATAATAGGTTGAAGTAAATATTATAAGACACTCATCATTAGATCGACTGCGTAAAAAAAATTCTCCTTAAGCTTGATTTTCTAAAAACATGAACGTTCAATGAGCAATACTGATTACGTGAACCGTTAAACGCAGTGTCAGCTTCTAAAAATAAATTGAAGTGCCAATCATACGAGAAAAAAGGGTTGAAAAACTTTAACTTAAAGATGTTGGATATTGTATCCTTAAGCACGAATAGATCATGTCAATAATCAAATTAAATTGAGTAATTTATAACTATTGAAGTGTCAGTTATTGACCTAAAACATTTTCTGACTTTTATTTGACAAGTACCGACGAAGAATGCTGCCTAGCAAGATTCATATCAATGTTTTATATTTCTTTGTATAAATGTTCATATCTAACTTTTCTCAAGGCCAAATCGAAGGAATTTTACGCTTCTTCTTTCCAATATTCTTGAAGATTTATTTGAAGAAAAAGATGTATTGTTATGTATCGCCACGTCAATATGCTTAATTCGAGAATTAAGAAAGAATTCATTTAATGACACTAATTATTTTATTTAACTCAACAGCTAATCTTCTTTAACATATACAAGTAGGAAATAAATGTGAAAATTATTCTGTTATTGGTTAACTATTTTTTATGAAGATTTTTAATCACTTCTGGTAAATATTTTCATCACTTTATATTACATAAATACATTTATAAGAACAAAGAACGAACATCACCAAACTATTTGTTAAATTCTCTTTGAAACTTTCACATTATTATTAAAACAATTTACTGATTGTAGTATCGATTTGTGATAAGAAAATTATTTCTTTACCTGAATCGGACGTAGTTAACAATAGAATCTTGACGTCGGAAGACAAACACAAACTGAAACTCGTTCTTAAAAAAAATCACACAGTTAAGTTTTTTTTCTGTCTAAAGCAAGTCTACATAAAATGCTAGAAAGAGAAGGCAAGCTAGCAATTATCGTGGAGTTCTTTTCGTCGGTTTATTTGTTAACTTTGATGATTCTCTCTTGGATCAATGATCGTTCACTTGTTTGCTTTTCTTCAAGAATTTAACCCTTGTTGCATCATGCTTAGGAGTTGACAACATATTAATCATTTACAAATAGAAATAGAATTCTGAGAAGTTCCTTTTATGGAGATAAACATTTATTAACCTGAAGATTAGCTTACCGTAGGCAGCATTCGCTTAGTCAGTATCCGAAGAAATCTTTTGAAATCTTTAATTATAGTCAATATGATATTGGATTAGAAGCTGTCTCCAATTCCAAATTACGGGTTACTCTTCCACCTTCAATCGCATCCCATACAATGCCCGAAAAAGTTAAAAAGTGACATGTCAATTTTGACGCTCATTATTTGTGATTGTCTTCCAAGTTGAGTTACGATACTGTTCTCGACAAGTTATCGAGATGTTCTGATCTAAGACTTAATAAATTTTCAATCTACTTAATTGACAAAAGATTGCAAGCACCTGTCGTCACATTTTTTTATCAATCAAGATAATAAATTGGTAATTCTCATGTCCAACCTCAAATTGACTTTTGAACGTTACTAAGTATGGCTCTTCTTTTTTAAAATTCCAATTTTGAACTTTCTAATTTTACGTTTTTTACCCTAATGATAAAAATAAGTTAATTTGGCAAATAATTGCAGAAAAACGATTTTATCTCCTAATTAACTTATTCTCTAAGCTATTGTGGGTATAAAAGGGAAATTTGAGAAAAGTACTCCCACATGCATG